AATGCCTTCTTTTGCAAGGGCATCTAAGGAAAAGGGGTCAATCCCCTGAATAAAAATAAAACATTTCAATAGCCTTCACCTTGAAAACAAACAAGACTAATTCAAAATGTGAAATTCTTACCTTTTGATTAATGACAACAAATCCTTTATCTGAGTCACCGCAGACTTTCTTTTTCAGCTCTATTATCTTTTTAACCCTGTCTTCAATGAACTTCCTCTCAGCCTTTACTAGCTTTTCTCTCTCCTCCGCACTCTTGTAAAAGAACCCAGAATTCACTTCTCTACAAAAGGAAAAAAAGCCAGAGAGAATGGGAAGATTTCCATTTTTACCTCAGTTTTAATGGGAGTAAGGGGACTGCATTCGGACGGACACGTACCACCAAGCTACATATAACCGCGTCCCTTTCTGTCTTTACAGTGGGGGAAATGTCAATGTCCTACCCTGAAGGGTTATGCTATAAACTCACGTTTTCTCATACTCCAAAGACACGTTGCATGTGAGGATGTAGGCATTCTCTACCCTTTTCTTCATATCAGGATGCCGTGCTCCATGATCCAAAACAAGCCCTCTGATTAAGCTACAAAACAGGGAAATTTACACCACTAATTACATACACTAGGTGAACGAACACATACCGATTAACTTTTATACAAGCCAACTAACTTCTAAAACATCTTGGTAACTTTCGGTTAGAAAGCAGGTCAGGCATCAGGTTACCCACCTTGTGTCAGTTTCAGATTTATGTTTCATCTCCATGATCTCAACCATGAAGAGGTCAATGGGTTCATCTTTTTTCTTAATGGCCAAAATGGAGTCCACCACAGCCTATGAGATTAGCATTAGATAACTTTAATTTTTAGAAGATGACACACTTTAGCTGACCTTTATATAAGTGTAAAGACTGAAGTAATTTACATCTCTAAAACCCGAACTTGCAATCGCCTGAAAATTATCAATCATCCTATTATTGCAAACACAGGTCTGTGACACAGACCTCAAGTCTCAGCCCTTCAGAAGAGGCAAAAGGACTGGGGTTAAGATTAGGAAAAAAATCTCAAACACACTCTATCCCTAAAAAAATACAACCACACCTTGTAACAATTTATTTTTTGTTTTTCAAGATAGAGTTTCTTTGTGTAACAGCTCTGGCTGTACTGGAATCCATTCTCGTAGACCAGGCTAGCCTGGAACTCACAGAGATCCTCCTGCCTCTGCCTCCCAAGTGCTGGGATTAATGGCATGCACTACCACCACCTAGCCTGCAATGTATCTTTTATAATAATTAGAGAACTAGCAGACGAGTTTGAAAAGTGCCCCCAAAGTATTAGAAAGAATTGATAGTTGGACGGTAGTGACACGTGCCTTTAATCCGAGCAGAGGCAGGTGTCTCTACAAGACTAGTCTACAAGAGCTAGTTCCAGATAGGCTTCAAAGCAACAGAGAAACCCTGTCTTGAAATACAAAAACAAAACAAAAAAAGAACTGATAATTACCCTGATTAGCTAGGCAGTGGTGGTGCACACCTTTAATCTCAGCACTTGGGCAGCAGAGGCAGGTGGATATCTGTGCCTTTGAGGCCAGATATAAGAGCTAGCTCCAGGACAGATTCCAAAGCTACAGAGAAGCCTTGTCTCATTAAAACAGTAACAACAAAATCAAACTCTGATTAGACCACGAGAAACATCAAACTATCAGTTTCCATAAAAGTATGCAGTATGTGTGTGTGGGAACAGAACCAACCTATTTCTAAAAATTAAGTCTCTATAATTCTTTTTTGAAAGTTTCAGTTATTCTCCCATCTTTCCACTTTGAAAACAGATTACTTTATTACTACCTAGGGAACAACCCGAATCCCTTACTTTACACAGCATTCCTGTCAAGACCCTATGTGCACAACACTTGATTTTCTCTGTGCAGTGCATCACATGCACAGGTCATGTTAATCACACACCTCTGTTAAGACATCTGCAAGTTCAGCATGAACTTTAGTTCGCAGAGATGTTCTGGCCACATCGACGAGTGTTTCTCTGTCCATCTCTCTGCTTACTTTCACTTGTTCCAAAAACTGGAGTGCCCTTTCCTTTGCAGCTTCAAAGCCTTCAGTTATTATCCTGGGGTGAAGACCCTATAAGCAAAATAGTTACAAAACCACTGCCAACATTTGCATCTTCAATTAGATAAATGACAACTCACTAAGTTCAGTACCACTGGACGGGACACCAGGGCCATTCATACTTAACACAATCAAGGTAACATGATGTGCTGATTTTCTGAATACATTTAAAAGGACACAGTACTCCTTTCAATGCAGAGGAAAAGAACAGACTTTACTCTAGCACAGAGTCAAGGCCAAGGGAGCCACAAAGCACACTTGGGTGTTCACTGTGCAAACCAGAATACCAAACCTAAACAGGCTCCTAAAATTCTGCTGTCAGTAAATGCTTATCTTGCCTTCACGCAATCAACTAATTCATACTATTTTGAAATATATATGTGCATACATATATATAAAAAGGAGAGTTGGCCAGAAGCAGTCAGAGCTCTATGAATTCGAGGCTAGCCTATTAAATATAACAGTCATTTATATATAGTTGACTTTTTCTTCATGCATGTTGAACCAAGATAAAGACATGCACAGGCTCCCAGATTTAAGCACCTTGATCTCAGATTCTATGGTGTGGCCTCAGATAGTATCACATCAATCTACACCAAGAGCCCACCAAACAACACACCCCAGAAACAATTATCATGTGTACCTCGGAGATGTAGAGGTCCGCCTGTTTCAGCAGCTCCCCAATGATGAGCACATTGGATGTGGTGCCATCCCCCGTTATGTCATCCTGGGCTGTAGCTACTTTCGCTATCAAGGAGGCTGTTGGGTGTTGAATTTGCTGAAAGTAGAAAAAGAACTATTTAAATGACTTAAAACATTACCTAAGGTAAAACATAAGACAGACTTCTTTTAATTAAAGCCATCTACTTAAACTGTCCGGTTTGGCTACGTTTTGTTTGGATTATCAAGCCATTTTCTTTTTTGGGATTTGAACTGTTGGACCAATTTCATCTGACCCTCGGGACAAAAATAATTACAGTAAAATATAATTAGCGAGGTGTGAAGGTGTACAGTTTTAATCCCAGTATTCAGGAGGTAGAAGCAGGCTACCTCTGTGAGTTCAAGGCAAGTCAGGGCATAGTGAAATCCTGGCTTAAAGGAAAAAAAAAGATCAAAGAGAATTTTCATTTCTCCTGTAGTTGAATAGAAAGGTGAGGATTTATTTCGGTCTCTCTTCCCCACTTGTCCTGTTTTTGAGGGAGGGTCTCACTATGCAGTCCTGCCTGGCTTTGATTTTTGTGGCGTTTCTGGTTTTTCGAGACAGGGTTTCTCTGTAACTGCCCCTGGCTGTCCTGGAAATTGCTCTGTAGACCAGACTGTCCTTAAATCCAGAGATCCTCCTGCCTCGCCCCCTGAGTGCTGGGATTAAATCGTGCCACCACCACCAGGCATTTTTTTTCTTTTAATAAAACAAACAATAAAATTGTCAAGACGCCAGCCAGAGCTCTTCACCCAACACACTATTTTCTCCGTTTCTGTCTGAAAGATATGAGCCACCTCAGGAATGAACACAGTAACACTAACAAAGCTTAGAAGAGGTCGAGATTTTTTTTAAACCTACATTGGTAACCTCTTACCATTTCGTGAAGCAGCACATTGCCATCTTTGGTAAGCTTGATGTCTCCAGCACCAGAAACAAGCCTGTCAAATGGGCAGAAACTGATGAACAAGGTGACTTCTCTCAATGAAAACCCAACTAAAAATTCCATAAAGAAGCCAAGGGTTGGTGATGTCTATCTTTTTTTCTCTTATGAGACAAGTGGATCTCTGGGAGTTCGAGGCCAGTCAGAGCAGATCAGTCAGCACCCAAATAAATACATAACGAAAAGTCCCACAAAGGCCATAACGGAATATAGGACATGACGGCTGGCGCTTTTGGGGCAGCGGGTACAAAAAAAAAAAAAAAAAAGAAAAAGAAAAAGAGAAAAAGGCGCGGGGTGATTAAGGGCAAAGTAAAATAAAGCGCTACGTCCCAATGAATCTCATTAATTTACCAACTATAAGGTAACAAAAACAAATCCCATGAAATTTGGACCTTACTCCCACATCCTAGTAAGCTCGGGGCCACGGGGCTGGGTAAAGAAAGCTGCACACGCCACCCTCTTCCTCCAAAGGAAGTGGGTGCGACTGGCTACCCGAAAGGCGCGAACTGGGCGTTTTGGATGGGAGGCCGCACAGACATTGTAGAAAATGCCTCAGCGAAGGCCCGAAGGCGGCGACTCGAGTTTGCGGCCACCGGCCCGCCAGGCCCGTCCTCCCACCACCCCGGTCTTACATCTTCATGGTGCCCTTAGGCCCCAAGTTGGTCCTCAGAACATCCTGCAGGCCCCGTGCCGCGCTGATGTTCACTGCCAGCGCTGCCTGCGCCCGGGCCACCTCGGCTTTAGGGTTGAGGGTCTTCACCGCCGCCATGGTTGGCCTAGCTCAGGGAGAGGCCGAGAACAACGTGCTCTATGCGGGTCTTCTCGAAAAGTCTTACGCACCTGGCCCGCCCCCAGCGTGCTCACCAGGGACCTTCATTGGGCTGCGGGTCTGCTGCTGCCCGCTGATTGGCTCAGACGGACGCTCGTCTCTCGAGGCTCCGCCTATCACGCCCAGTTGCGGCGTCATTGCGCCACCAGGAAACTTGTTCTCTGGCAATCGGCACTCCGAATCTTAAGGTTCCGTGATGGTCGCAGCCCATTGTCGCCGATCCTCGATTTAAGGCCTAAAGCGCAGCAAGCACGTCCTATAGATCGTGTCTGAGAGATGCTTCAGCCTCTGCACTCGTCTGGGCGTGACGGGAAGCTGCGGCATCGGCTTCGCTTTACGTGGTGTCTGTAGCTCCTGGACCCTGGGTTCTGGGATGTGTCCCTCACCCTCTCGCGAGGTTTCCCAGATTCATTTTCCTTGCTTGTTTTATTCATAAATGTGGGAACACAGAAGAAGGACGCTTCCCCAGTACCCTGGTGGTTTAAACCCGGGGAAGAAACGTGTAATGCCAGGTAGAAATTCCTAGATGGCTTTAGAGGCGACTAGATTGGTGCGATGGGCGTTGAGGAGACTCAAGAGTCGGTTCATTCTTAGGGCCCGGGTCACTGAGGCAGTTTTGCAGACTCAGGGTTTGTTTGGTTGTTTTTCGAGATGCTATTTCTGTATAGCCTTGGCTGTCCTGGAACTCGCTTTGTAGACCCGCCTGACTCTACCTCCAGAGTGCTGGGATTAAAGCCATGCTTCCCAACCGCCGGGCTTTTTATTTTTATTTTTGTATGTGAAACAAGGTCTCACTCTGGCCCTAAACTACCACTGTGTAGACTGGACTGGTAGCTAACTCGTAACAGTCTTCTGCTTTAACCTACAAAATGATGTGAGCTGCTGTGCCTGCTGAAAGCTCATACTTAGCTGGACTGTGGTACCCAGGCTTTGAAAGAACTCCTTTAACTTAAAAAAAAAATATTTTTAACTTAGCTTTATTTTATATACATTGGTGTGAAGGTATCAGATCCTCTGGAACTGGAGTTACAACAGTTGGAAGCTTCCATGTGGGTGCTAGGAATTGGACCTGGGTCCTCTGAAAGAACAAGCGCTGAACCATCTCTCCATACTCGTTTAGCTTTGTTGTTGTTGTTGTTTTGAGACAGGGTTTCTCTGTAGGTTTGGAGCCTGTCCTGGAACTAGCTCTCCTGGATCAGGCTGGCCTCGAACTCACATATGTCTACCTGCCTCTGCCTCCCGAGTGCTGGGATTAAAGGCGTGCACCACCACTGACTGCCTTGTGTGTGTGTGTGTGTTAATATGTATGGGCGTTTTCTCTGCCTGTATGCCTGAGCACTTAGGTGTATATGCTCTTTTTTTGTACTCAATTTTTAAGCTGTTATCTGAGTTTGTAAATATATATATCAATAGAAATCACTTCACAAAGATGACAATTCATAATACCATTTAATATATTATACTGGCCTAACTGGAGGTTTTGCTATTTTAATTGAAATAAATTCTCATGCTCTTCAGTATCTGTCATACCTACTGCAAGAATGAAACAAAACCAGGCATAGTGGCACTCAGCTTTAATCCCAGCGCTAGGCAGGCAAGCAGATCAATGTGGGTTCAAGACAAACGATCTACATAGCAAGTTCCAGGCCAGCCATGGCTACATAGTGAGACCCTGTCTCAAAAAATAAAAAAGAGTGGGATAGTGCATGCTTTTAATCCCAGGACTTGGGAGGCAGAGGCAGGTGGATCTCTGAGTTTAAGGCCAGCCTGGTCTAGAGAGTGAGTTCCAGGATGGCCAGGACAGTTTCACAGAGAAACCCTGTCTCAAAAAGCAAAGCAAAGGGGGCTGGAGAGATGGCTCAGAGGTTAAGAGCATTGCCTGCTCTTCCAAAGGTCCTGAGTTCAATTCCCAGCAACCACATGGTGGCTCACAACCACCTGTAACGAGGTCTGGTGCCCTCTTCTGGCCTACAGGCATACACACAGACAGAATATTGTATACATAATAAATAAATAAATATTAAAAAAAGCAAAGCAAAGCAAAACAGCAACAACAAAAAAGGAAGAAATATTGGAGGAGTCTTTTTTTTAACTTATGGTTTGTTTTGTTTTTGAGATAGGTCTCACTATGCAATCCTGCCTCTACCCACCTCCTCTCTACTTATTTATTTTTATGGGTATTTTGTATGCACATATATCTGCACACTAGAAAAAGGCATCAGACCCCATGTGTACGTTGGGAAGGAAGAGCAGCCCGTGCTCTAAACCACTGAGCCATCTCTCCAGCCCTGTCTGCCTGGCTCCTAATTGCAGGCATTACAGACATGCACCACCACCCCTGGCTTGCATATGCTGGGAAAGTGCTTTACCTCTGACCCACAGTCCCAGCAATGTGTCTTTCTCACAGTGAATATCACACAGCATCACCACATCTCTAGACCAGGCTGGCCTTAAACTCACAGAGATCTGCCTGCCTCTGCCTCCCGAGTGTTGGGATTAAAGGCGTTCGCCACCACCATCTGGCTTTTGTTATGTTTTTAACATAATTCATTGAATGACTGCATCACAATTTATTTCACTAACCTTCCACTGGGTTACATTTATTCTGATACTTTGCTATTAAAATTCTCTATGACAGTTCACATATATGATATATATGTGATATATATATATGATATATATGTCATATATATATCATGATAGAAGCTACATTTGAGGCTGTCACATGCTTTGGTCTACTTCCACAACAGGATTTAATGACTTCTGGTTTCTAGTTCTTTTTTTTTTTTTTTTTTTAAAGATTTATTTATTATGTATATAGCATTCTGCCTGCATGTATATCTGTTGGCCAGAAGAGGGCACCAGATCTCATTTTGAATTGTTGTGAGCTACTATAATGGTTGCTGGGAATTGAACTCAGGACCTCTGGAAGAGCAGTTAGTCCTCTTAACTGCTGAGCCATCTCTCCAGCCCCAGTTCCCAATCTTTTAAAAAGAGTTTTGTTGTTGTTCGAGACAAAGTCTCAAAAAGGTTTTATTACACTTGTTTGTGTGTATGTGCGTGTATACATGTAACATGTATGTGTTTACATCTTTCATCTGTGCCAGAGTATATATAGAGAGAGGTCAGAGAACAACTTTATTTGTTTGTTTTGTTTTTGTTTTTTTGAGACAGCCCACGTTGTCCTGGAAACTCTATAAACCAAGCTGGCCTTGAACTCACAGAGATCCACCTGCCTCTGCCTCCAGAGTGCTGGGATTAAAGGCATGCACCATCGCTGCCCTATGATAGGACAACTTTTAAGAGTTGGTTCTCTCTTTTATTTATATCTTAAAACAAAACAAAAAGCTAACAGGGTCTCCTGTTGTCCAGGCTGGCATCACTGGCCTCACACTCAGTATGAGCTCAGGATGACCTTGAACTGATTCTTTTGCCTCAGTCTCCAGAGTGTTGTAAGTATGGTTATGCCTACCATACCTGGTTTTGTTCTCGGACAGGCTTACTGTGTAGCTCAAGATGGCCTGAAACTTACTGTGTAGCCCAGGCTGGCCTCATCCTGGCAATCCTCTCACCTCATGGTCTAGATTAACAGACCTCTAGCGCTCCCCTGCTTTGATCTTGGCATCTTTGAGTATTCAGCAGTTATTTTAGACTTATTTGGTGTAGCTTGATGTTACCTATTGACTAAATTCATTTTGGCAAGAAATATTACAGAAATGGCGTGTGCTTATTGCGGCTTAAGAAAAGTCATGTGATTCCGGTTTATCCCATTGTCAGTGCTGTTAACTTTGACCATTTATTTGAAAGTGGCCGGGTTACTATAAAGTCTTAACTTTTCTCTTGGGGGCATCTGCAGGGTGAATGGCTCAGCAGTTAAGAGCCCTTGCTACTGCTCTTCCAGAAGACCTGAGTAGCCGTAACTCCAGCCCCTTGGAATCTGACACTTCTGGCCTGCACTCTTGGGCACGCACCGCCATACAGGCACATAATCCTATGCATAATTATAAAATAATAAAAATAAATCTTTAAAACTAAATTTGCTCTCTGTATTCAGTCAGTAATTTTATAAATATCCATGTTTTGTTGTTTTGTTTTGTTTTTGTTTTCTCTGTATCTTCGGAGTCTGGGAGCCTGTCCTGGAACTCGCTCTGTAGACCAGGCACCAGGCAGCCCTTGAGCTCACAGAGATCTGCCTGCTTCTGCCTCCAGAGTGCTGGAATTAAAGGCACGTGCTACCACCACCCAGTGTTGTTGCTATTTTTATGACACTTACTTGTGTATTTTTGTATGTTTGTTTGTTGTTTATTGAGACAGTCTCACTATGTCTCACTCTGTAGTCTTGCCTGACTTTCAACTCAAAAAGATCACCTGCCCCTGTTTTCCAAGTGTTGGAATTAAAAGTGTGAGCCATACTGGGCAGGGTGGCCCATTCCTTTAATCCCAGCGCTCGTAAAGTAGAGGCAGGAGAATCTCTGTGAGTTCAAGGCCAGTCTGGTCTACAAAGTGAGTTCTAGGACAGGCTCCAAAGCTACACAGAGAAACCCTGCCTCAAAAAAATCAGAAGAAAAAAAAAGTGTGAGCCACTACACCTGTCTTCCTAACACACTAATGTTTTTTCTTTTAATTTTATGTTTGTCTTTGTGTGTGGTTGCAGGTGCTTGAAGAGGCCTGAGGTATCAGATCCCTGAGTTCACAGGCAGTTGTGAGTTGCCTGTTATGGGTGCAGGGAATTAAACTTAATACACGCTCTTAGCCACTGAGCCATCTCTCCAGCCCCGACTTAGTTTTTAGAGGTATATATACTTTTGCTGGACATCAACACTGCCGTCTTGTGCCCAAACCTTGTACAGGTGTGAGATGAGGGATCTAAAAGGACCAGAAACAGGTGGCAGATTTTATTCAAATATCTGAAATTTTTATGAATATGTAATATAGGAATAATAGCGCAAATGAGCTCTTGTAGTCATTCATATTTATAGTAGTTAAGCTTTTCTTTTCAAATAAAAATTTTCATTGCTGTCTATACTTAAATGAATATGTTTAGTGTTTAATATCTTGCATCTTTTGTTATACTAATTTTAAAGTTACTACCAAGCACATATGTGTTATTGACTAGGTTGATATTTTTTAAAACTCTTAATTTCTTGGGGATTACTTAGGCAAGCTCTCTACCTCATCAAAACCATCTCTGAGGGCTGGAGAGATGGCTCAGAGGTTAAGAGCACTGGCTGCTCTTCCAGAGGTCCTGAGTTCAATTCCCAGCAACCACATGGTGGCTCACAACCATCTGTAATGAGATCTGGTGCCCTGTTCTGTACTGTAGGATACATGCAGGAAGAACCTTGTATACATAATAAATAAAAATCTTAAAAAAAAAAAACCACATCTCTGAGGCTGGCTAGATGGCTCAGCTGGTAAAGTGATTTGCCACTAAGTCTAATGACATGAATTTGATCCCCAGTACACCCATAGTGGAAGGAGAAAACTGACTCCACAAAGTTGTCCTGAGTTCCACATGCACACTGTAAAACCTCCTCCTCCTCAGTAATTAAATAAATGTAACCTAAAAGAATCCCATCTCCAGTGGACGCCCCATGTTTACAGCCATTTTTCAACTAGTGAATTCTGGGAATCATAAACCTCAAAGTCATGTCTGATCAAAGAGATTGGGGACTTGTGTTACTGGGTTGAATTTTATAAGTTTTTGTTTGTTTGTTTTGAGATGGTCTTACTACATAGCTGTAAGTTAGCCTGGAACTCACCGTCTAGAGCTGACTGGCCTTGAACTCACAGAGATCCCCTTGTCTCTGCCTCCCTCCTGAGTTCTGAGTTTAAAGACTTGCACCACCTTCCTGAACTGTGTACTTTTGAGAGCTTCTCTGGCTTAAGGGCATGGTTGTCGTGGCTAAAGGCCTGCCTTAGCCTCGGCATTTTCTCTACTTGGCAAAGCAGATGATCAGCTAGACACTTCAAGTTGTCTTCGGTTGGACTTCATTGCCTAATTGCAGGCAGCTTCTTGCAATATGAATATTTGGGAACAACACTTCTTACTGGTTATGCTAAAATAGCAGGACAAGTGACATCTGGAAGGGGGTAGGTGGGAAAGAACAAAGCAGGTATGAGCTGGACCTGGTGGATTTGGGCCTGTTATTCCAGCCTTCCAAGAGACTGAGGTAGAAGGAGCATAGAACTGACAGGGGTACAGAGTGAGTTGAAGGCCAGCTTGGGCAACCTAGACTCATTTTCAGATTATGAATTAAAATGAGAGCTACGTAGGGCTATAATACTCACGAATAGAACATTTGACTATTATGTGTCAAGCCCTAGGTTCACAATTCCAAGTATATACACGCACATATGCATGCGTGTGTGCAAGCACACGTGCACACGCACGCACGCGCACACACACACACACACACTCACAATTCCAAGAAACAAAACCCCCAAATCAACCAAATGGACGGATAAAACAAAACAAGTACACGGGCTGGGAATTTGGCTCAGTGGTTGAAGTACTTGTCATGCAAGCCCAAGATTGAGAGTTTAGAGTCATGGAACTCACATAAATGTGGGAATGGAAGCCTGTGTGAAATTCCAGCACTGAGAAGGCAGAAATGTGATCTCCAAAGTAAGCTGGCTAGGTAGAATAGTTTTTTTGTTTTGTTTTTAATTTATATTTTAATGCATGAGTTCTCTGCACGTATACCTGCATGCCGGAAGAGGGCATCAGATCCTATTATACATAGATGGTTGTGAGCCGTCATGTAGTTGCTGGCAACTGAACTCAGGACGTCTGGAAGAGCAACTGGTGCTCTTAGCCATTGAACCATCTCTCCAGCCCCAGGTAGAATAGCTTTATGCACCAATTCGGAGGTCAATGGAGAGAGCCTACCTTAATGAGTAAGGTGTAAGGCAATTGAGGAAGACACCTGTTACCAACCTTGGGTCTCCAGGTACACACACAAGTACCCATCACTCACAAGAAAACATGCATGCACACCACACAAATATACACATGAGGAAAAAAATGCCACAGTTAAAAAAAGATAGGAGCTGCAGGGATGGCTCAGTGGTTAAGAGCAGAGGCTGCTTTTCCAGAGGACGTGGCTTTGATTGACAGCACCCACATGGTGGCTCACAACCTGCTCCAGAGAATCCAGTGTCCCTTTCTGGCCTCAGCAGGTACCATACATGCATGAAGTGCCAGACTTATATGTAGATGAAACACCCATACATAGTAAATAAATAAAATTTTTAAAATAAAAAAGAATTATTTTTATTCATGTGTATGTATGTGCCTGCGTGTGTGCTGGTGCCCTCCGAGGCCAGCAGGCACTGGATCTCCCGGGACAGGAGCCGCGGGTGGTAGTGAGCCACCTGGTGGAGGTGCTGGGACCCAAACCTTGGGTTTTCTGTTATAGCAGTAAGGACAGTTAACTCCTGGGTCTTTCTCTAGCCCAGCAAAGATTTTTGGCTTTTTTTCTTCTTCTCCACTTTAAGTATGAACAGAGTATCTTTATTTTTAGGCAGGGTCTTTCCTGTGGTTCAGGCTTGTTGCGAATTCATTATGTCGTCAGGATGATTTTGAACTTTCAATCCTGTCTCCACCTCCTGAGTGCCGGAGTTTCAAGCATTTGCCACTGTGGGGTTTATGTGGCGCTAGGGATGGAACCCTATTCTTGCATGCCAGGCAAATACGCTGCCAAGTGAGTTACTTTGCCAGCGGGTCTATGTAGATTTTGTAATTAACAGGGGTTTCAGAAAGGGCTCACAAGGGGCTTTGTGCATTACAAAATCAGTGCAGAGGTCCCTCGCTTCTCTCGCGTGCAGGACCCTGCAAATGGGGCACGGCGGCTGAAAGTCAGGAGCTCTTTCAGACTATCTCAACAAACTGTGGAGGTCACAGAGCTCTCAAGGCGGCTCTGTCGGTGCAGAACCCCAAGGAAGGGAAAAGGTGGGGGGCGGGACCGGGAAGCCCCTCCCCTGGGGGCTGGACCGAGGCGGCCTTCCAACCCGGTTTTGCAGAGCCGAGATCTGCCGTCTCCAGTTGGAAAAGCACATGAGAAACTGTTCTGAAGCCACCGGACTCATCAGAAGATCCCAGACGAGCCTTGGGTGAGGACTGTGATCTCCTGCACTGATCCCTCCCTTAAGACGCTGCACTCGCGCGTCACAGCAGCTCCAGACCCCGTGAAGACCAGCGCGGCCCAGGAACCGCGGTGAGTTCCCCGCTCGCGCCCGTCTATCCACAGGGCAGCTTTCAGTTGCACCGGTCCTCGCTTCCCCACAGCTGTGACTTCTCTGATTCTTTGCTGGGTAGGTAGATTATCTCCTAGGACTCCAAGGCTTTCCTTTCGTTAGTTCATATTTTGGGTAGCTTCACTTTTTTCATTCTCCAAGACAAACAGCTTGAATGAATGATGCAATCTGGCCCAGGAGACTCATCTGTAGAAGATATGAACATTCTCCAAACTGAAGTGTCTTGACTTTGCCATCATTTTCATTAGAGATAGAATTTCAAATAAGCATATGTATGTACACACACACACACACACATATATATATGTACACATAAACATATACAATTATAAAGGAATAGCTTTAATTTGGGTGTTAAATCTTTCATTCATTGGATTTGTTCGTTTTCTTCAAATATGTGTGTGTGTGTGTGTGTGTCTGTACCTTCAGAGGCCAAAGGTGTCAGAATCGCAGGAGCTGGAGTCACGGGAGATTGTGAACTGACCCCTGTGACCCATGCGGGTGCTGGAAACCAACCTCCTTTTCCTGCAACAACAGCAAGCACTCTCAACATTAAGCAATCTCTCCAGTGACAATTGTATTTTCTATATATGAGTCTTGCATATCATAGTTAGTCTCGTGTGTGTGTGTGTGTGTGTGTGTGTGTGTGTATGTTAGCACAGGCTGGCCTTGAACTCCTGATCCTCATGCTTCCATTTTCCAAGAGTTTAAAGCTTATCTGTTGGTGGACATTTGGGCAATCACCCACAAACACACCTCATGACAATGTTTCTCTCCCATCGACCTTCCCTTTTCTTGTATGAATCTCTGAAAGCAGGGGCTGCTGGGGTTTGTAACTCTATCTTTAATCTACAAGCAATGAATTTAATTCCCATCCCCCACCCCCTAGCACATGAGAGTCCCCGCTGGGCCATGTCCTCAGTATGTTTATCTTCACAACAGCTTTGCCCATTCTTTCTATGCGTTTACCACACAGCTCTTTCTGAAGAGTGGAGTCTGGCCAGGCTGGTGTGTACTTGCAGTGGTCCTCCTGCCTGGTTTCCCAGGTGCCAGGATCATGGCCACCAGCCACCAGGCCTGGCTTTTGGCTCAGTTCTTACCTGTTCCTGCTTATCTTCTTTTTTTTTTCCCCTGAGATTTAGCACCTTCATTTTCTACACTTACATTCGAAGTGTGTGTGCGTGTGTGTATGTGTGTGTGTGTATGTGTGTGTGTGAATGTGTAGGCCAGAGGACAAATCTGGGAATTTGGGTGTTATTCCTCAGGTGTGTCTACCTTTTTTTTTTTTTTTTAATGTTTATTGGGTGAGAGAGAGAGAGAGAGAGAGAGAGAGAGAGAGAGAGAGACTTGTGTACCTGAGGGCACTCTGTGCATGTGATGTACCGAATGTTTGTGTGTGAATGTGGGGGTGTGCAAGTGCTAGGCTGGAGGTCAGAAGAAGCTTTTTGGAATCAGTTTTTCCTTTTTCTAGGCTATTCTAGGTTCTGGGAATTGAACTCAGGTCATCGGGTTTGCATGGCAAGGGTTTTTACCCACCAAGCCATTTGACCATCCCCTGGCATTTTTAAAAACACTGTTCTAGTGATTGAACTTAGGTTGGACCTTACTGTGTGAGCTGTTTTCCTGGCACCCACCGCCTTGATTTTTTTTTTTTTTTGAGGCAGGCTCTTGCTATCTTGCTATGTAGTAGAGCCTGACTTTAAATTTAAAACCTTGTGCCTTATTCTCCTGAGCACTGAGATTACGGGTATGCATTAGGATGTCCAGTTATTTGCAGTTTTATTTTATTTGTTTGTTTTGTTTTGTTTTGTTTTGTTTTTTTCAAGACAGGGTTTCTCTGTAGTTTTGGAGTCTGTCTTGGAAATCGCTCTTGTAGACCAGGCTGGCCTCGAACTCACAGAGATCCTTCTGCCTCTGCCTCCCAAGTGCTGGGATTAAAGGCGTGTGCCACCACCACGTGGTGCATTTTTATTTTTTATTTATTTTTTATTTTTTAAGTTTTATTTATTTATTACATATATAGTGTTCTGCTTGCATGTACACTTGCAGACCAGAAGAGGGCACCAGATCTCTTACAGATGGTTCTGAGCCACCATGTGGTTGCTGGGAATTGAACTCAGGACCTCTGGAAGAGCAGCCAGTGCTCTTAACCTCTGAGCCATCTCTCCAGCCCCATTTTTGTTTTTTAAAGACTTATTTATTTTATGTTTGTGAAATGTTTTACTTGTATGTATGTCTGTGCACCGTATGTGTGCCTGGTGCCTCCCTGAGGTCAGAAGAGCGAAAGGGTGTCAGATCCCTGGGAACTGGAGTTGCAGAAGATTAAGATATAACAGGTGGGTCCTGGGTCTTGAACCTAGGTCCTTTGCAAGAACAGCAAGTGTTCTTAACTGCGGAGCCATTATCTCTGCAGCTTCTATTTGCATTTTAATGTTTACTATTGTTGTTGTTGTTTCTTCTACTTAATTTTTTTTAAATAACTTTTTGTGGTGCTGAGAATGGAACCTGGGGCCCACTAAGTAACTCTACCACTGAGTACTTCCCTGGTGTTAGGGATGGAAAATCACAGTTCACAGTTGTTAGCTTTGCTCCCTTGAGGCTAGCACCAGAATTCCTTTAAATATATATATTTATTATTACTGCGAGTATGGGTGTGGACACGCATATGCCATGGCGCATCTGTAGAGGTCAAAGGATGACTCAGAAACTGGTTCCCCCCTTTCACCAAGGGCTCCAGGGATTGATCGAGAGCCATCAGGGTTTCAAGGTGAGCATCTCTATCTGCCGAGCCAGCTTGCCAGTCCCTGAATCACCTTTGCTCTTGGCTTTGTTTCCCTGACTTGTAACCAATTGATGGATTACGTGGTTTTGTAGTATTGAGCACGGAGCACAGGCCAGGGCACTCTGTCGCCGAGCCACACCTGCGCTTCTAGCTCCCTGCTATTTGTTTCTTTTCCTTTTTGAGACAGGATTAAACCTCAGAGCCATCCTCCTGCCTCAGGCTTCCTTAGCCCTTCAAATGTTGAAATTACAGGCATGAGGCAGCACACACACACACACACACACACACACGTGTGCCATATTTTGAAGAAAGCAAGGACTGTTGGGTCTACTCTATGCCCAAGTCTCTTCATTCTGTATCTGTATGTTGTTCTCCCCGTGGGTCCTCTTTGTGTTCTGTTCATCAGGCAGAGTAGAAGCCACGGACAGGCTGTAGCTACTTCTCTGCTCTGTTTGAACATCTCCCAGGGGAAGCAGTTTTTGTCGGAACAATCTTACTAGGAGGTCAATCAGTCTTCCATCCCCCACGCCCCCGATACTTCTCTTTGTGACTGGGTCTCATATAATCCAGGCTTGCCTTGAACCGCTAACTCCCTGCGTAGCCTAAAATAATCTTGAACTTCTGATCCTTTGGACTGATTCTGTCCCTTGAGTGCTGGGGTTATAGGTGTAGGTCATCAACCCTGGCTTATGAACTTCAGAGGGTGAAACTCCAGGCTTGCTTCATGCCAGGCAAGTGCTTTACCAACTGAGCCAAAAACCCCAGCCCTTCTACCTCCTTCTTTGCCATGAGTCTGTTCCTGGCTGTTCATTTTCTCTCTCTCTCTCTTTTTTTTTTTTTGTTGTTTGTTTTTGTTTATTTTTTAGGCTCTTGCAAAACTCACAGATATTTCTTTAAAAACAAAACTCTAACCTGAGGTTTACGGTGCATTTTTACCTTCAAAGGGGAAGAGAAAGACACTGTCACCCAGGAATCCAGCTCTGGAGAATCGTGAGTACTAGTGTGTCCATGCATTGTGTCATTAGATTTGCCTGTGCGCTAACGTCCTCGAGTGAAAAGTAGCATCTGTTGGTTTGGGGATGTGGCTTGGTGTGTAGGGCGCACGCTTACTGTGCTCAAAGCCCTGGGTTCCACCATATACAGTAGGTGTAATGTTCATGCCTGGCATCTCAGTACTCAGGAGGTGGAGCTGGGAGGATCAGGAGTTCAAGGTTACCCTTGGCTATGTAGCAGGTTTGACACCAGGTAGGATATAGGAGACCTGTCTTTGAAAAGAAGGAGGAGGAGGAGAAGCATTGTCTGTCATAACATGTTATATGCATGTCACTTCTGTTTATAAGAAGTTTCTTTCTTTTTTTTTTGAGTTTATTTATTTATTTATTTATTTATTATACATGTCATAAAAAGGTACCAGATCTCATTATAGATGGCTGTGGGGCACCATGTAGTTGCTGGGAATTGAACTCAGGACCTCTAGAAGAGCAGCCAGTGCTCTTAACCTCTGAGCCATCTTTCCAGCCCCTATTTCTTCTTTTTAAAATTACATTTTTGTTATATATGTATGGGTGCTTTTCCCATGTGCATATCTGTGTACCGCTGGCATGGCTGATGCAAATGGAAGGAGCTCCTGTAACCTTAGGTGCCTCGCGCAAGACACTAGATGGAAGAGATTCTATCTGATTAAGCAAGGAAATTTTCTTCCTCTTACTCCAATTCAGGCCTCCTAAATCCAAGCCCGGAAGGGAAACCCCTTTCTTCACTTTGGAGCTCCGGCGAAGAAGGGCTTGTCAGCACAAATTTAAGAATAAAGTCAGGAGGCTTCACTGGCTTCACTGCCGAGCTGGAGCCCCAGTCTGCACCCTTGAAGGCAGTGGGTGGGCCTGGGCCTCTGTTTGGACACAGTCCTTTCTCCCGCACTCTCTCCACCCCTCATCTATGGGCTTCCCTTCCCCCAAAAGCCCCATGTGAAGTTCCAGAGTCCGTTTCCCAGCAGTGATTTTTCTTTCTCTCTGTGGACGTCTAATGTACACAATTTACTTGGAAGCAGCCGAACTTAGTTTTCCCCTATTGCCAAGGTTTTTCAAGGTGTTTTTTTTAGACCAGGCTCACTATGTAGCACCTTTGGCGCTCACGATCCTCCTGCCTCAGCCTCCTTAGTGCTGGGAACACGGGTGTGCACCACCCATACCCACTTATTTATTGATCAGAGATAGGATCTCTAGCCCAGGATTGCCTTGACCTTATTACTCAAACCCACTGCATACCCAAGGATGACCTTTAACCCCCATCCTCCTGCCCTGTCCTCCCCTCCCTAGTACTGAGATTGCAAGCACAAACATGCACCGCCCTGCCGCCCAACATCTCTGAAACACCGGGAGCCTCTGAAGGACACGGTTCCTGTCAGGTTCCATGCCAGGTGCCTGACCTGGGTTGTCTTTTCCCTGGTTTTGAGTCCTGCGTGCCCGGCGGTTATCCTGTCAGCATCTCATTTTAGCTCTTACATAATTTGCCTTCCTGGCTGGCTTTCCCTTAACCTGTGCCTCATGGTCCTGTCCCGTCGAATCACATGATATATTTACGGAACAAGCTTTATTTCTTTTCTGTGTGTGCACAGAGGTCATAGGACACCTTTTCATGATTCCTCTCTTCGCTTCTGCCATGTGGCTTCCAGGGATGGAGGTTTGGCAGCAGGCATCTTTACCTATTGAGCCATCTCCCTGTTACCATTTTATTGGAAACAGGGTCTTATGTAGTCCAGACTGGCCTCGGATTTGCTCTGGAGCTAAGGATGGTCTTAAACTAACTCTCTCACTCTCCTTTGTTTTTTTTAGACAGGTTTCTCTGTTAGCCCCGACTGTCCTAGAACTCACTCTGTAGACCAGGTTGGCCTTGAACTCACAGAGATCTACCTGCCTCTGCCACCCGAGTGCTGGGATTAAAAGTATATGTCTCCACCACCCAGCAACTCTCTCTTTTTAAAAAATTATTATTGCTATTTTTAGGTGTGTGTGTGTGTGTGTGTGTGTGCGTGTGCCAGAGAGGGTGATGGCTCTCCTGGAGCTGGAGTTACAGGTAGTTGTGAACAGCCAGATGAGTGTTCTGGCAACTGAATTTGGGTCCCTTGAAAGAGCAACAAGCACTTTTAACTACAGAACCATCTCTTCAGCCCCAATCCTATTTTTGTTTTGTTTTGTTTTTGTTTTTTGTCTTTTTTTTCAAGACAGGGTTTCTCTGTGTAACAGTCCTGGCTGTCCTGGAACTCGCTCGGTAGACCAGGCTAGCCTCGAGCTCACTGAGATCCACCTGCCTCTGCTTCCCCAGTGCTGGGATTAAAAGAGTGCGCCTCCACCACCTGGCCAGCCCCAATCTTAAACTCTTGATCCTCTTGCTTCCACCTCCAAAGAGCTGGGATCCCAGGCGTACATCACTATACCCGACTTAGGCGAAACTTGGGGCTTCGTGAATGCTGAACAAACTCGCAACTCGCATCCCTCGCCCCATACTTGACATCTTTTTTTTTAAAATTTATTTCTTTATTATGTATACAATATTCTGTCTGTGTGTGTGTGAATGCCTGCAGGCCAGAAGAGGGCACCAGACCTCATTACAGATGGTTGTGAGCCACCATGTGGTTGCTGGGAATTGAACTCAGGACCTTAGGAAGAGCAGGCAATGCGCTTAACACCTCTGAGCCATCTCTCCAGCCCCTATACTTGACATCTTTAAGCACACTTCTCTCTCTCTTTTTTAGGAGGAAAATTCTTCCCAGGATGGTCTCCCATTCCGAGCTGAGGGAACTCATCCGCTCGGCAGACGCAGTGTGCTTTGACGTCGACAGCACAGTCATCCGAGAGGAAGGGATTGATGAGCTGGCCAAATTCTGTGGTGTGGAGGCGGCTGTGTCTGAAATGTATGAGATGTCTTTATTCCCTTTAGGAGATGCTAAAGAAGTCACCACGTCTTTAAAAAGCAATGACCAACTGGGCCTGGTAGCGCACACCTTTAATCCCGGCACTCAGGGAGGCAGAGGCAGGCGGATCTCTGTGAGTCTGAGGCCAGCCTGGTCTACAGAGCGAGTTCCAGGACAGCTAGGACTGTTACATAGAGAAACCTTGTCTCGAAAAACAACACAAAAACCAACCAACCAACCCCAAACAAGCAACAGCAACAAAAAGACCTGATGAAAAGCTAAGGTCTCAGTTCCTAGGTTTTGCTTTTGGCCCAGGGCTAAGACCAAGCACCAGGTTACCAGCCCCCCCCCCCCGCCAGATACCTAGAATTTAGCGTGGTTTAGTGTGCTGTCTTCCTCTGTCCATGTGCAAAAATTCCAGCATAAACAAAGGTAGCAAAACAAACGTCTCTGCAGATGAGACGCATTCTTGGGCAGGCTGGGGAAATGATTAATCCAAGAAGATAGCCTGGGGCTCTAAGTCTTCATCAGTGTCTCTGGTCAAGGTTAAAAGTGCAACCCGGCTGCCTCAGTGGAGAGAGATGCCAGGCCAGAAGCTCTGTCCCTTCCCTCTGCCTTCCCGCTCTGCCACAGCAACACCTTCCTGAGCTACGGTTTGCATTTGATACAGGAGCTTTCAGCCTTTGGTTTCTTTCGAGGTTATGGTTTGCAAGCAAGGTGCTTGTGTTTGGGATGTGTGGGTTTCTGACCGTCTGTGGAGGCACAGTCCATGGAGTCAGTCTCCGTGTGATTCCCAAGCAGACCCCTCCTGTATGCGGCATGCAGCAGGCCTGTTGTAGAGTTGGGCTCACGGCGATACCTTCTTCCTGATGGTTATCATGAAGTCCTGGCTTAGGAAGGCATGTTGACTTCAAGGACAGCTAACCCGGCTGGCCTGATCCTGGGTCTTCCTCCTAGGACTCGGAAAGCCATGGGAGGAGCATTGCCTTTCAAAGACGCGCTCACTGAACGCCTGGCACTGATCCAGCCCTCCAGGGAGCAGGTGCAAAGGCTCCTAGCTGAGCACCCCCCACACCTGACCCCCGGGATAAGGTAAGCACAGCCTTGGCCCTTGGCATACTGCCTTGCTATGAGCTTGGGGATCTGCGGAACTCTTTCCTCCTGTTACCGTTGCCTTCTGCAGGGCTCTCTCGGTACTGACATTTGCTCTGATCTTTCTCTCTGGTCTCGTGTATGTTTGACCTTATACTTTCACCAGGTTTCTCTAGGAGTTCTTTATCTTAGCGTTAGTGCAGTGGTTTCCGGAAGCAGAGAAGTCCCACCCATTAATTTCTAAGCACATCTGAAAAACACATAAAATGCTAGGAATGGTGGTGCATATTTCATAATTCTCAGGAAGCTGAGACAGGAGGGTCTTGAGTTCAAAGCCAACCTGGGCTACACATTGAGACCTTGTCTCAGAACACACGCACAGAGGCTGGGTGTCTGTGTAGCATACCCTTGTAATCCTAGGACATGGGAGGTAGGGGCAGGTGATCAAAAGTTCAAAATAATCCACAGACACATGAGTTCCTATCTCAAAAATCAGCCAGCAAAACAGACAAACAAAAAAGCTAAGAACAGGTGTTGGTTCACATCTGAAATACCCAGTCCAGACGTAGCTCAGACAGGATTGCTCTTGTGAGTTCAAAGCCAGTCTGGCTACATAGCAAGAGTTTGTCTCAAAAACAACAACAAGCTGGGCAGTGGTGGCGCATGTCTTAATCCCAGCACTCGGGAGGCAGAGGCAGGCGGATCTCTGTGAGTTCGAGACCAGCCTGGTCTTCAAGAGCGAGTTCCAGGACAGGCTCCAAAGCTACAGAGAAACCTTGTCTCTCAAAACAAAACAAAACAAAACAAACAACAACAAAGAAACAAAGAACAATGAAAAAGACAACAACCTCCCAACAAAAGAACACAGAAGTGGACACACGAAGAAAAATGTAATTGCTAGGGAAAGGGCAAAACCTCAGCAGAGAGACTCATGGCTTCAGAATGGCCACTCCGACTGGATAGAAGTTCAGAGACTTTATTCAAAAACACACAACCCAAACGAACACCACCTCACCAGCACCAACCCCTCCTCAAACATAGGAAATGTTAATCCCATAGGCATTTCTTTACAGATGGACTTCCAGCATTGGAGCTAAGAAAAAATTTTAAAAAAGAGCATCTTTTTCATGTTTTTTTTTTTTTTTTTTTTTTTTATTAACTGCTGTTTTGTATCTTGTGCTTATTTGTAGGGAGCTGGTCAGTCGCCTGCAGGAGCGCCGTGTGCAGGTGTTCCTCATATCCGGCGGCTTTCGGAGCATCGTGGAGCACGTCGCCGCCAAGCTCAACATCCCAACAGCCAACGTATTTGCCAACAGGCTGAAATTCTACTTCAATGGTAAGATTTTAATGGTAATATATTCCCTTTCTTCTCTGTTCTGTCATTTAATATTATAGTTAGTGTCTGCTGAAACGTGATTTAAAAAGAGCAGTGGTTCTGGGGTTAAGAGTTACATGAGTTATTCTTTTAAAAAAATTTTTTATGGAGCCTGGCAAGGTGGCTTAGGGGTGAAAAGCACTAGGCACTCTTCCAGAGAACCTGGGTTCAGTTCCTAGCACCCACACTGGACAATCCACAGCTCTGTAACTCCAGTTCCAGGAAATCCAACTCCCGCTAAGAAAAATTCGTGTGTGTGTGTGTATGTGTGTGTGTGTGTGTGTGGCATACAAGTGCCCTCGGAGGCCAGAAGAGCATACCAGATCTCCTGCAGCTGGAGCTCCAGGCTATTGTGAGACCTGGCTCGGGTACTGAACTCAGGTTCTCTGCAGGAGCAGATGCACTCGGAGCTGCCGAGCCCTCTCTCCGGCCCCGTGTGAATGGCTCTGTTGACTGATGTGCTCTGCACTTTGGTGTTCTTTACTCTGCAAAACAGGCAGAGGTCATCCACCCCGGCTTGATTTTGCATATTCATGCTATGCATAAACTAAAATGGTAGCCTGCTGGCTTATTTTGTGATGCTACAGTTCAGGGACGGTTGATTGTTTTACTGTGTCTGGAGCAATGTAGACCCAAGAAGGAGTTTGGTTAATGATTTGCTGCATTTCCATTGCCCTAGGGACACCTGGGGTCACAGCTATAGTTTACATAATCTCAAGAGGGCTCCAGTGATGCTGGGCCCTTGAGGTGCTGAGGCAGGAGTATTTCAAGTTGGAGTCCAGTGTGGACTACAGAACAAACTCTAGTCTCTAAAAACAGGATGAGCGACGGCTTGGCAGTTAACTGAGTACAGGCTGTCGTTCGGAGGACCTGAGCTTGTTCCCAGAGGAGTGTCGGTCCAGATGCCACACACTTTCACTCACATGTACAGCCTCCACACACACACACACACGCACGCACGCACGCACGTGCACACACACACACACATGCACACACACATCATAATAAATAATGAAAAACAAAATAGACAGCGAATAGAGTGCTCTCAGGCTGGGCCAGGGTCCCTTGGTAGAGCATTTGCCCAGCCTGCCTAAAGCACTGGTTGGCACTTAAATCAGGTTCTGACTATATTCCCAGGTGGAAGCAGGAAGACCAGGGGTTCAGGGGCATCTTAGGATACACAGTAAAGTTCTAGGATAGCCCGGGCTGTATGGAACCCTGTTACAAAAGAACCAGAAGCTCTGTAGCTATGTCATAGGGGCGTGAGTAGTCTTGAAACCCCGTGAGGGCCAGGGAGGGCTCAGCAGGTAAAAGAGCTTGCCCAAGAAGCCTGACTTGAATTCAGTTCCTGGAACCCTCATAAAGGTGGAAGGAGAGAACCGACCCACAAAGTTGTCTGCTGACCTCCACACAGGTGCCATAGCATGCACGTCCCTTCCCACTCACTTAGTTAGCCAGGCTTTGGTGGCACACGCCTTTCATCCCAGCACTTGGGAGGCAGAGGCAGGAGGATCTCTGAGTTCGAGGCCAGCCTGGTCTACAGAGTGAGTTTCAGGACAGCCAGGGCTACACAGAGAAACCCTATCTTGAGAAAAAAAAAGTATGAAGCGGGCGAAGAGTGAAAGACTCCCCGCTGGGCGTCTTCCCTCGGGAGAGACCCCCATGTCCAAAGATCAGTCGAAAGCACGCAGCTGGATGCAAAATGCAAGAGGTTTATTTGGGGTACACAGGCACCTGTGGGCGACAAGGTCTCTCGGAGAACTTGCGCGCCTGCAGGTTGGGGGTGAGGGGTTTTTGTAGGAGAGCAAAAAGCGAGGTTTACAGAAGCAAGAAGCAGGGTGGTGAATTTTTAACCTAGATAACAATGAGGGGACTTCTCAGCGGTTTATTGTTCCTCTCATCCTGCCTTCCCCTTTCCTGGCTGGCGACCAGATGTCTGATAGCATAGCCCCTGATTCGTGACGAGCCCCGCTTTCTACGTGACTCAGGCCTCGCAATCTTCTCTTTCTTTGTTTCTATGGCCAGTTCATAAATTCCCTGTTTTGCAGCCAGATAAGGCTGTCCTTGCTCTAACCTCAGGTAGGTATCTTTGCTCAGCGGAGGCCTTTTATGGAGCTTGTTATTTGTTCAGCATTCCAGGAGGTCCTGAGCTAAGTTTGTTATTTGCTCATCCTTTGCAAGAACGGTATGACTGTGGTTAAAGCGAATTGGGGTCCTTCAAGAGAATACCTATATAATCCCAGCATTTGGGAAGCAGTGCCAGGGGATTAGGAATTAAAGGTCATTTTTGTCTACTAAGACTCCATCTTTAAAAATAAAAACAAAACTAACTAAGCCAACAAACAAAACAAATGAGTGAAACAGGCCTGGGGACTCACTCTTAACACTTGGGAGGACGAGGTGGAAGTATTTCTTCAAGTTCTATACCAGCCTGAGCTACAAAGTCTCACCACCAAACAAGTCCCAGCCCCCATTAATTAGTGTGTCCATTTCTGCATAGTAGAAATAAATCCAGAGCTGGGAATGGGATTTAGTTGGTAGATCACTTGCCTAACATGCAGGAATCCCTGGGTTCTGTCCCCTGTACTGCACACACCAGGCATGAGGGCGCATACACACCTGTGATGGCACGCTCCAGGCAGGGAAGCCAGAGAGAGAGAGAGAGAGAGAGACAGAGGGACAGAGTCAAGGTCATCCTAGGATTCATAGTAAGTTCAAGGACAACCTGCTCTACAGGAGCGCCTATCTTTAATCCTATCTTTAAAAAAGTAAGAAAAGTTGGTTAATTCCTTTAGGTAATGTTACTATATTAATGTGATAAATCAATGTATTACATGTAATATATTATGTATAATATAGAAATTAATGTATTATGGTGGTCTGCTATCTCAACAAGTCTTAAAACTGCTACATCAGAAGTTGAGGAGATGCAGCTAATTCAGTCCAGGTGACCCACTAGAGCCACCTCCTCAGGAATATGGCTCAGGTCCCATGCTGTGTGACCATACCCAGGGCTGTTTTAACACTTATATTTAAGTTCGGGTGTCATCAGTATGAACAAGCTGCGCGAGGCAAATGTTTCTGTGAACCTAACCCCTTCTCACTGTCCTCTGAAGGTGAATACGCAGGCTTTGATGAGATGCAGCCAACAGCCGAGTCTGGTGGGAAAGGAAAGGTTATTCGATTTTTAAAGGAAAAATTCCACTTTAAGAAAATAATCATGATTGGAGATGGAGCTACAGACATGGAAGCCTGCCCTCCCGCCGTACGTACTCAAGGGTGCTGGTTTTTTGTTTTTTGGTTTTTTTCAGGTGGTAATTTTTTTTTTTTTATGTCTGGTTGAAAACGCTATGAAGCTAACAGCAGAAGTTAAACTAAAACAGCTAAATATCATGATAAGAACACAAAGCAGCCAAAAGACATTCAGCCTAGGAACATGCATGAAGTGTCTTACTCACTGTTCAGTTGCAGTGAAGAGACACCGTGACCAAGGCAACGTATAAAAGAAAGCATTTGAACTGGGCAGCGGCGGCACACGTCTTTAATCCCAGCACTTGGGAGGCAGAGGCAGGCGGATCTCTGTGAGTTTGAGGCCGGCCTGGTCTACAGAGTGAGTTCCAGGACAGCCAGAGAAAGCATTTGATTGGGAGCTCGCTTACAGTTTCAGAGGGTTACTCTGTCATCATCATGGTGAGGAGCATGGTAGCAGGCAGGCAGGCGGGGTGCTGGAGCAGTAGCTGATGGCTTACATTCTACCAATGAGCTGGAAGCAAAGAGAATGATACTGGGTATATATAGATACATAGACATATATGTAGCAACACACACATACATACATATGTTTTTAAGCATGTACATAATTTTTCACTTAAATATATTTTGTTTATTTTATATATGTTTCTGGGTGTGCCATTTTAAAAGACGTTAACCCGGTCCCCACTTTCCTTCCTAGGATGCTTTCATTGGGTTTGGAGGAAATGTGATCAGGCAACAGGTCAAGAGCAACGCCAAGTGGTACATCACTGACTTTGTGGAGCTCTTGGGAGGACTGGAAGAATAGTCTCAACTTCCTGCCCACTCAGCACAACTCCAGTCTCTCAGAGCTACAGGCAGGCTCCCGGTACAGTCCAGGAGGTAGCTAGTTTTGTCTACTGCAGTTCCAATATTAATATGACTACTAATTACCTGGAGAGTTTTATACTCTGAATTCTTTGTGAATATTCCTACCTGTATTTTACCTGGAGCTTTCTGAGGTGCGTGGTAAATTAAATGCTTTTACTCTTACAACATGGATTCAGTAGCCTTAAGTGAGTATGGGATTTCTCTTAGGTATAAAAAGAATGTTTGTATATATGAACAGGCCTGTTCAGTTTTCTTTTTTCCTATTTTTTTTAAATTTTTGTTGTTGTTTTTGAGACAGGGTTTTACTGTGTAGCCCTGGCTGTCCTGGAGCTAGCTCTGTAGACCAAGCTGGCCTCGAACTCAGAGATCCTCTTGCCTCTGCCTCCCGAGTACTGGAATTAAAGGTGTGTGCCACCACTGCTCGGCGATTTATTCAGCCCCTTAGGCATGCCTGTGTCTAGTGTTTCAGTGACTGTGAGTATGTAAGCATAAACAACCCCCGTGCCGAGAAGAGGGTTGCGGTTTCTCCATTCTGCATGCAGAGTCCCTGTCCTGACCTCGTTACAGGAAGCCCTGGCACAGAAACCCTCTTTTCACCTGACTTGGTTTTGTGTGGCTGGGTATGGTGGGTGGTGCACACAAGTAATCCCAGCTCTTGGAATGCTGAGGCAGGGGGATGGAAAGTCCCAGACCAGCCAGAATAAGAGCCTATATCTAGAAAAAGGATATAAAGAAAAGAGATGTGTTATGTTTTAAATGTCACAAAGGTTTTGAGAAAGTAAGAGCCTTTACCATTCTCAAAGAGGACTTGGGTTTGGTGCCCAGCATACGGCTGTTCCCGGGAAACAGAAACTACAGTTTCAGGGTATCTGGTACCGGACATGCATGTGGTGCTCTTACATGCAGGCAAAACACACATGTAAAATAAAAATACAAATTTTAAAGCCAAGAAGTAACAGATGGAGAGACGATGGTTAAGAGAATTTGCTGCTCTTATAGAAGACCTGAGTTTGGGTCCCAGCACCCACAACTGATGGTTCAAAACTTTCTGTAACTCCAGCTCCAGGGGGATCTGATGTCTCTGGCTTCCTCAGGCATGTGCATTCATGTGTACATACCCACATGCAGAAACACACACATAATTGAAAAGAATAAAAACAAATACTTTAAAAGTAATGATGGAAGCTTAAATAAAAATACTGGTTTAAAAACATTGCGACTGGGTCAGAAGTGGTAGCTCCTGCCTGTAATCCCAGGTATCAGGAGGCAGAGGCAGGGGGATCGTTATCACATTTGGGCCAGCCTGGTGCCTCAATCCTATACCCAGAGTCACAAAAACAAAATAAGATGGCCGGTGGTGGCACATGCCTTTAGTCCCAGCACTTGGAAGGCAGAGGCTGGTGGACATCAGTAAGTTCGAGGCCAGCCTGGTCTACAGCGTGAGTTCCAGGATAGCTAGGACTATTACACAGAGAAACCCTGTCTCAAAAAAACAAAAACAAAAGCTACCACTAACAACAAAAATATCTCCAAACCAAACCAAAACAAAACCTGTCTCTACCCTGTCTTAAAAAAACAAAGGAAGCCGGGCAATGGTGGCGCACACCTTTAATTCCAGCAGTCGAGAGGCAGAGGCAGGTGGATCTCTGTGAGTTCGAGGCCAGCCTGGTCTACAAGAACTAGTTCCAGGATGGGTTCCAAAGATAAAGCGAAACCCTGTCTTGAAAAACAAACAAACAAAAACACAAAACAAAGAAAGGAAATAAAAACCACATCTATTTTTGAAAGTTACATCCAATACGTATGGTTTACAAATCATAAAAGAGAGCAGCCTATTCCTAACGATTGCAGTTCTTGGGCCTAAGAGATGGCTCACGGGGTAAAAGGGCTCGCTGCAACAGCCTTGCCATGGGAGTTCAATTTCTGGAACTCAGCACAGAGGAGACAACTCTCTCAAAAGGTGTCTTCTAACCTCTACATGTGTGCTCTGGCATGTGCGCACCTGGCACTCAAAGCACACATGCACATGTGGACGCAGGCACGCACACACGCACATGTGCACACAGGTGCACACACCAAGTTCTTTTCCACAGATGACTTGGGAAGAAAGACCTGAAGGTTCCCACTATCAAGAGTGAGAAAGTTCAGGAAATGCTTTAAAGGATGAGATTGCTTACCCTCCTTGCTTATTGTCGGAGGGGAAGGATATGGGTTCAGAGGACACAAGTAGTAGCGACTACTAGATCACTGAATAGGGAAGACATATAGGTCCTACAGATTTTTGGGTTTCAGTGTGTGTGTTTGTATGTTTGAGTGGTGCTGGGGATGGAGAGTAGGGATTTGCACATTTGAGGTAAATACTCTTTCTGCCCCAGGGTTTTTATTTATTTGTAATGATAGGGTCTTACCCAGTTCAGTACTCGGGGATGACCTTGAACTCCTGCTCCTCTGCCTCTGCCTCCCGAGTGCTGGGGTCCCAGGTGTGCACCATCATGTCTGGGTTATTCAGTGCCGAGGACCGAAGAGCAAGGCTTCACCCCAGCCTGAGCCTCTACTGCCTGATGTTTGCTTAGTGTAAATTATATGAAACATTTATAGCTTAGCCAAATTGATCAAATGTGTCCAATTTCAAAATCAGTTGAGGGTGGATGGTGCCCGAAGACTTCAGCACTCAAGAGGCTGAGGCAGCTGGGCGGTGGTGGTGCACATTTTAATCCCAGCACTCGGGAGGCAGAGGCAGGATGATCTCTGTGAGTTAGAGGCCAGCCTGCTCTACAGAATGAGTTTCAGGATAGCCAAAGCTACACAGAGAAACCCGGTCTTGAAAAAACAACAAAAACAAACAAAAAGAGGCTGAGGCAGGAAGATCATAATTTCCAGGCCTGGGCTCTAGGGAGACCCTGGCTCAAAAACAAACACTAAACAAAACAAATAATGAAAAAACATGCCTTTAATCCCAGCACCAGGAGGAAGAGGCAGGCAGATCTCTGGGTTTGTGGCCAGCCTGGTCTACAGAGCAAGCTAAGACAGCCAGGACTACACACAGAGAAGCCCTGTCTTGAAAAATCAAAGGGAAAAAAAAACCCTAAAAACCAAAACAAAGCAAAAACCTTAGGTTTTGGAGGAAAGGCACAGAGAAGTATGTTGGCAGGGCTCACACGGGCTCCCAAACAACAGGGCTGTTGTCCCACAGTTGTAAATGCTTCCTGGCAGCTCTCCTAGATGGCGCTTTGTGGCTTTGCGCTTTTCAGCAGAGCAAAATGGGCAGGACCAGGCCTGCTGGGTCTCAGCAGAGCGCTGCTACAGAATGTCTTAGTTCACATGACCACCTAGGGCACATAAGCCCAAGCGGAGGTGGAGGAGGCGGCCGAGTTGGTTAGGAGAGCTTGCTTCAACAGGACTGTGGCCTGCACAGGTGCAACGGCAAATTGGCCCCGGAGGAATCTGATTAGGGTGCGGACTGAGATTCTGATAGACAACAGTTACAATGCTACCAGTGGTTCTGTGGGCCATAGGCCGCTGGCTCTGAGCTCACCGCCCCCGGGTAGCACAATCTCCTCTTTGTTGTGTCAGGGGGGTGAATATGAATGAGGCAAGAGCTGTACTGACCTCTTTCATGGTTTATCTAATTGTAGACTGACTGGAAGCAGTCAGGGTTTCCTCTCAGAGGCGGCATCTATGGGTACAGTGGGGTGGGGGTTCCCTGAGTGGTAGCTTCTGCTTGGGGGGTGCCACTTTTTCAATCTATAAAAACTGCTTCTATAACCAGAGGAAGTTAAGGAACTGAAACTCGTCCTGGTAGGAAGTTGAAGCAAAATAAGCCCTTATAGGGGGCTATAGTGGCATACACTTGTAATCCTAGCACTCTGGGGTCTGAGGCCGGAGGATCTGAGGCTCCAGGCAAGAACGGACTTCACAGCATGATTCTGTACCAAAGAAACGAAGCAAGCGGGTAACAGTGGTGCCTGACTGTGAGCCCAGCAAAGCTGGATGATCAGGGTGTTAAGGCCCACCTTGGGTACAGAGAGAGATTGAAGCCAGCCTGCCTGAACTGCAGGAGACCCTGTCTCAAAACAACTGGGCACTGAGATTGCTCGGTGGGAAAAGGTGTTTCCCAGGCAAGCCTGATTCGAACCCCAGAATCCACATAAAGGTGGAGAGAAGCCACTTCACAAGACTGTCTTCTGACCTCCCCCTACTCCATAGCATGCACGTGCACACACACACACACACACACACACACACACACACACACGAGCACATGTGAGTAAAACTAATAATAAACATAAACATTTGGGGGCGCTAGGAGAATTTAGGTAAGAGTATTTACTGCTCTTGAAGATGACCTGGCTCCTAGGATCCACACAGGGTGGCTTACCCCTGTAACTCCAGTTCCAGGAGATCCACTGCTCTCTTCTGGCCTCCGCGGGCACCCGCATATACCTACACTTAGGCACGTCTACACACACACATAAAATATTAAAAAGGAGGAAAGGGCCCGGCGGTGGTGGTGAACACTCCTTTAATTCCAGCACTTGGGAGGCAGAGGCAGGTAGATCTCTGAGTTCGAGGCCAGACTGGTCTTAAAAGGTTCCCAGTCTGTTTGGACACTCACCTTCCTGGACCTGGAGGGAGGGGGGAAGGAACTGGAACTTCCCACAGGGCAGGAAACCCTGACTGCCCTGGGGGACGAAGAGGGAGGAGGAGGGGGAGTGGGGGGAGTGGGAGGGTGTTGGGGGGGGGCGGAAATGGAAACTTTTATAATTTAATAAAATTTACTTAAAAAAAAAAAAGGTTCCAGAATAGTCAGGGCTACACAGAAAAAACAAAAACTAAACCAAGCCAAACCAAACCAAAATGAGGAAAGGGTGGTGAGGACCAGTGTCATGGCTGGACCTGTAAAGGCTCTTGCTGTCAAACCTGAGGACAACCTGAGTTTGATCCCTAGGACCCAATGGTGGAGGGAGAGAACAGATTCCACATATACACACACACAAAATACAATTAAAAAGAGAAGGGGGCCACTGAGCTAGCTCGGTGGGTAAAGGCACTTGCTGACAAGCCTGACACCCTGAGTTTGGTTCCCAGGACCCACATGATAGGAGGAGAGTAGACTCTTGCAAGTTCTCCTCTGGTGTCATGCATGTCGCAGCACGTGCACTCGTAGACAGGCTCACACAGGGTGAAGAGTTGGAGGCGCTCAGTTGGCAGAGTGCTTGCCTCGCTTGCAGGAGGCCCTAGGGGTCCGTCCCCAGCGCCACAGATCACCAGGTGTGTTTGCACAGGCCCGACATGCTAACGTTGGGGCCGGTGTTAATAAGTAGTAGGCCAGGGTGGAAGGGCCTGGTTTAGGTCAATTGTTAACCTTAGTAATGCATTAGATAAAGAATGCTCCAGCTCTGGACATGACCTGGTGAATCTATCTGGTGAAGACAGCAGTTTTTGTACTGCTGACCTCAGGCTTGTAGGAGCGGCGTGAGGAGAGATGGGAAAACACTTTGGAGGATGTGAACAGGACTCATGTGACTGTGGACAGGTCACTCGCCTGTCCAGATGAAATTGACCATTAATTAAGACTCTGAGGGCTGCCAGGCGGTGGTGGTGCTTGGCTTTAATCCCAGCACTCGGGAGTCAGAGGCAGGCGGATCTCTCTGAGTTAGAGGCCAGTCTGGTCTACAGAGAGAGTTCCAGGATAGCCGGGGCTATACAGAGAAACCCTGTCGGGTGGGGGGACCCAAACCATGAATAAACAAACAAACAAACAAACAAACAAACAAGATTCTGAGGACTGTAGAGGCAAAAGCAAAAGCAACAACAAAACCCTATCCTATCTCTGCCACCACTAAGGTGGCTCCTCAAATCTCTGGAACCTCATTCGCTGCTGCTGCTTTGGGGGTGTCCTCTTTCGCAGAGAGATACCTGTCTGCGGAGGAGCACGTACAGATCCACTAGAAAAGCAGTTTAACCAGAGAATGAGTCGGACTGGAACACAACAGGAGGCACGTCATGCTTTTTGTTTTATTTTGCTTTTTTTTGGAGACAGGATTTCACGGAGCTCAAGATGGCCTCAAACTATTATGTACCCAGTATATGTGTGCCCATATACGGATATGTATGGTGCTGGGGACTGACTGAACCTAGGAGAGCTTGTGCGTGAACACCGTCAAGTGAGCTGCATCTTCAGCTCTGGTTTTTTCTTTTTTTTTTTTCTTTTTTTTTTTTTCCGAGACAGGGTTTCTCTGTGTTGCTTTGGAGCCAGTCCTGGAACTTGCTCTTGTTAGACCAGGCTGACCTCAAACTCAGAGATCTGCCTGCCTCTGCCTCCCGAGTGCTAGGATCACCACCATCTGGCTTGGAATTCACTTGTAGACCATGCTGGCCTCAAACTAACAGAGATTGGCCTACTTCTGCCTACCAAGTGCTGGTATCAAAGACATAGACCACCACTGCCTGGCTTCATTTTCTCTCTCTCTTTTTTTTTTTTTTTTTTGTTTTTGTGACAGGGTTTCTCTGGAGCTTTGGAGCCTGTCCTGGAACTTGCTGCCCTCAATCTTGCAGAGATCCACCTGCCTCTTCTTCCCAAGTGCTGAAGGTTTTTTTTTTTTTTTTTTTTTTTTTTTTGTGTGGCGGCTCATGTGTATAATCCCTGCACTTGGGAAAGGAAAGGCTGGAGGATTCTGAAGGTTCTGGGCCAGCATGGGCTATAGAGTGAGACTATGTGAAAAAAAAACAAAAAGCCGGGCTGTGACAGCACACACCTTTAACCGCAGTACTCAGGAGGCAGAAGCAGGAGCATCTTTGTGAGTTCAAGACCAACCTGGTCAATCAGTGAGTTCCAGGAAGGTTAGTGTTATTACACATAGAAACCCTGTCTTGAAAAAAACAAAACAATGACAACAAAAACAAACCCAAAAAGGTTTCAATCATGCAAAATGTGAAAATTAAGAGGATTTTATTTATTTTTATATGTTCTTGGAGAAAACCATTCACATGTAAAAATTAGGCATTTGATAGGAGTTTTAGTCATACTTTATTTTATACATATCAATTTGTAGGGCAGACATAATTCTTCAGTTCAATGGGACTTCCACATGATTACAGTCACAGAATTGGCACACTATATTAAAAAACAAAACCAAACAGAGACAGGTAGAATATGAAGCTTTATGCCAACTGAGACCCAGCGTGCCCTGCCCTTCATACAAGATCTTGGAAGTGTCTGCTGTGAGCTTACCAAAATAGAACCAGAGGTCAGAGGTCACAAAGGGTGGTTTACAAAATAAAACCTCTTTCCCAAGAGCTACTTGTTTCATAGAAAAATATTACAAATAAAATTAGAGCTATTTGAGGTGTTTACTCCCAAATCGCATGTGGTGCACTGGTTCATGCCAAGCCCTTGGACACAGTGCCTGGTGGAGCCTGCATTTCTGGCATTTCTGGTCAGGTACACCGTGACCACCTGCACCGCTCAGCCTGCTGACTGGCCAAGAGTCACAAAATCAGAACATTTTCAGCCATTGGGTACACTCACAATTTATTAAAAAAAAAAAACCTGCTTGGGAAGCATGATATAATTTGTATTTCTTCCTGAAGGAAGGAAATTTGTAGAAATCTGTAAACATAAAACAGATTTTTGAAAATAGAAAGCAATAGCTAATTCTTTTTTAGAGCTGGAATTTTCCTCAGAGATGATTTGAATTTGAATTTTGGTTTTAGAGACAGGGTCTCACTATGCAAGTCCAGGGGTCCAAGCTGGTCTGAAACTTTCTATATAGCCCAGATTAACCTAGGACTTACTATAATTTTCCTGCCTCAGCTCCCTGAATGCCAAGCTACCACCCCCGGTTATCATGTTTTCCTGAGGGGCTGGAGGCTTAAGTAACATTTGGTAAGCAGAGATGCGACAGAGCGATGCTCCATGTAGTCCCAACCCCGATTTCCATTCGTGATTATGCAAATCTTAAAGAAAAGAGATCTTATAAGCTATGTACAGCAGTTTACACCTCGGTTTCTTTTTCACTTGATGAATGGCTGAAATGAATTCATGACATATATTCGTCACGGAGATCTGTGTAGGCACACATGGAAGCGTCACTGGAGGGGCGAGGTCTTGAGCGGGATCATGATTCTGGACTCCATTTCCTGAATGAGTGGGACTGGAAACAAGGTGGAGGTTACTTGGTTGGCTTCCCAAACACACTGGGGTAAAGACACATTACCAAGGTGCCTGCTCAGACCACAAACAAACGCTGCTAGAGGGCAGGAGAGAGCTAGAAAAGAGAGTGGTTACCAGGGCAGCAATTGGTGACGGCACCGACTAGGATGTTAGCGAAGCTGAAAGAGTCCACCTGCAGAGCGGCTTGATGGGAAATTAGGAAAGTCTTGGTTGTGAAAAATAGCGCTTTCTCAAAAGGTTCTTTAAACTAAAACAAAAATTCGAATCATACTGGATCTAGAAGCAACCCATAGAAAGGAAGAGTGAGATGGCTCAGTGGGTGACGGCACCTGTCACCAAGCCTGAAGACCTGCGCTCAATCCATGAGGCCACCATGGTGGAAGAGAGACCTGACTCCCACAAACTGCCCACGGACACACATGTTAGGTGTGCTGAGGTGGGCCCACCCCCAGTGGAACAGCGCACATGAAAATCAATGCAAAAGAATTTTTTTCCCACTTAAAATTTTTGTAAAAACTACTTCTGTGGACTGAGACTCATTCTGGGAACTGTCAAAATTTTTTTTTCTTAAATATTTATTCATTCATTTATTTATTTATTTATTATGTATACAATATTCTGTCTGTGTGTATGCCTGCAGGCCAGAAGAGGGCACAAGACCTCATTACAGATAGTTGTGAGCCACCATGTGGTTGCTGGGAATCGAACTTAGGACCTTTGGAAGAGTAGGCAATGCTCTTAACCTCTGAGCCATCTCTCCAGCCTGGAACTGGTAAATTTAAGTGGAAATTAAAACAGGCATGGCGACCCACACCTGTAATCCTAGCATGTGGGAGGCCCAGGCAGGAGGACTCCCTCAAGTTTGTCTCCAAGTTTAAAACAGAGTGTATCGAAACAACAGAAGAATAACACACAAAATTACAGGATTTTGTTTCTTTTGTGACTGATTTTCACTCCCTATGTAGCTAAGAAAGAACGTTAGCTGGGACCCTCCTACCTGCACTTCCTGGCACAGTATTGGCCCAATTGTGTGTGTGTGTGTTTTTTGTTTTTATGTGGTTTTTTGTTTGTTTGTTTTTTTCAAGATAGGGTTTCTCTGTAGCTTTTGGAGTCTGTCCTGGAATTCTCTCTGTAGACCAGGCTGGCCTCGAACTCACAGAGATCTGCCGGCCTCTGCCTCCTGATTTTTTTAAAACTAAAACAAGCTATTTTCTAGGTTGCTATCTCATCTTCTTATTCAGTATGCAGCTTAAATATCCATTGAATTTAACTTTATGCTGGTCTCTATGAATTTGAGGTCAGCCTGGTCTACATAGAAAGTTCCAGGACAGCCAGAGCTACATAGTGAGACCCTGTCTGGCAAAACCACCAACTAAAAAAAAAAAAAAATTAACTTTATAATTTCTCTTGAATTTTAGTGCTGTGGATCAAACCTGGGGTTGAGCCATATCCTCAGCCCCAAAGTTATTAGCATTGTCATTATTATTATTGCTGCTACGTGTTACTCTGTAGCCCAGTCCGTCTTGGAGCATTCTTTTAACTTTAGCCTTTTAAATGTGTGTGCCACCATACCTGTTTGCAAATATATTTTTTAAATTGATGTATTAATTATTTTGGGGAAGTGATAGCTTTAACGAAAAGCGTTTAGAAAAAAATTGTAACTTTTAGAGAACAAATTAACTAAAAAAATATTTTTAAAAAATTAAGCTAGTCCAGCATGGTGGTGCAAGCCTTTGATCCCAGTGTTTGGGAAGCAGAGGCAGATGGATCTCTGTGAGTTCGAGGCCAGCCCATTCTACATAGTGAGTTCCAGGACAGCAAGGGAATAAAATAATAAAATAAAAAAATTAAGCTACCCACAAGTCTTAAAACTCTATTAGGCAGGGGCTGGAGAGATGGCTCAGAGGTTAAGAATGCTGACTATTCTTCCAGAGTTCCTGAGTTCAATTCCCAGCAACCACATGGTGGCTCACAATCATCTGTAATGAGATCTGATGCCCTCTTCTGGCCTGTAGGCAGACATGGAAACTAACACTGGATACATAATAAACAAACAAACAAATAAATAAATCTTAAAAAACTCTACTAGGCAATATAATAGTTGAAACAATCAATATTCTTCTTTTGTCTGTATTCTGCTTTAAAAATAATTTTATTTATTAATTATATGCATATAGGTGTTTTATCTGCATGCATAACTATATGCGTTGTGCCCACGGAGGCCAGAAAAAGGCACTGGATTCCCTAGACCAGGAGTTCCAGGCAGTTGAGAGCCACCATGAGGTGCTGGGAATTAGGCCCAGGTCCTCTGGAAGAGCAGCCAGTGCTTGTCTCCTGGGCCATCTCCAGCCCGTTCTCTGGCTTTTTTTCTGACAGGGTCTAACTGTAGCCTAGGCTGGGCCAACACTTTCAATCCAGAGAGCTGGAATTAGTCATGAGGCACCATCTTGGGTTACAGAATCAGGATTCTTAATTTGAAACAAAGTCAAGTTAGTATTTAAGGAGAAAAGAACATTGGTCTTTCTCACGTCCTGCTAACCTTGCTGTCACATCGAATTTCTAACAGTAACACGTGAAGCGGGAGATGTTGGGGTCTCTGGCAGCTTACCCGTGTAGTACACCAGCTCCTCCCAGCCATGCTTGTGCCACGCGGCGTTCCGTATGTCCTCCCTGGTCTGGAGGTCTTTATAAGCTTAAATACAGGGAATAAGACTCGAGTCAGGTACAACACCCACATCCTAGGAGTACAGTCATTCAGGTGGCTGTCTTGCTTTCTGACACTGCTTTGGTCACTCAGTAACTGACTTGGAGTACAGCAAGCACGGACTGAGAGAAACCCATGGCCAGGCTTCTGAGAGGAGGGAAGCTGCCTGGTCTCATGGTTTTATAATCCAGTGACCACATGCTGTCTCTCCAAGGCAAGGAAGCTTCTTCAATAACACAGTCCATTTACGACTAAGAACCTTCAGATTGGATAAACCTTAGACTCACACTCCTGCCTTTTTCTCTCAAGTACTGGGATTATAGGCATGTACAAAACGATCTGGGCAGAACATGTGTTTTTATTTTGATTTTTTAAAAAAAATTAATTTTTATCTTAGGTATATGTGTTTGCCTGTATGTATATATGTATGCATGTGCATCTGTGCATGCCATGGAAGCCAAAGGAGAGCCACAGATCCTCTGGAACTGGAGTCACAGGGGATTATGAGTCACTGTGGGTGCTGGGAAAACAGATTGGGTCCTCTGTGAGATCGGCCAGGGCTGTTAACCGGTGAAATCACTTCACCAGCTGTAGAACACACCTTTTGTTGTTAATGATTATTTATTTATGCACATCAATATTTTGCCTGCATGTATGTCTGTGTGAGGATGTCTCCTGAAACTGGAGTTACAGACAGTTGTGAGCAGCCATGTGGGTGCTGGCAACTGAACCTGGACCCTCTGGAAGAATAAGCAACACTCTTAACTGCCGAGCCAACTCTCCAGGCCTGTAGCTGTTTTTGATATTTCTTTGTAAACTCTGATTTGAACATTTGAAAACGCAGACGCTTTGTGGAGCCAAATCTCAGCTCACCAGAAGATGCACTGTTCAGGACAAGGCTGCTGGTGGACGCTAGGAAGAGGGAGGGTCACTGCTATAATCTATCATTAGTGCAGGCTTTTGGTTTCTTAAATGCTAGGTAAGCTCCACTGAGCAGAAGAGTCCGGCTGCAGCAGGGGTTTCTGGGAGTGATGATGGAAGTGGAGGGATGAAGAAGTTATCTTTTCTGCCTCAATGTAACCACTGAGGCTTAGCTTCCTAGCCATGATGCTACTATGTAACCATTCTGCACTATTTGTGGGGATCTTTTTTTCTGATGAAGATTGAACGCAGGACCTTGTACATGTCCTACCACCCAGCCATACTTTTTTATTTTTAATTTACTTATGTGTAGGTATATATGTTTATGTGATAAGCTGGAGGTTCTGAACTCAGCTTCTCTGGAAGAATAGTGGATTCTTAATCGCTGTGCCATCTCTCCAAACCCTGGTTGCTGTCGATTCCCAGTTTTAATTTTTATTTACGTACATGCATGCAATGAAATATAATTATATCCATCCTCCCATTCCCCTTCCAATGTTTAGTAACCTCCCCAACAGCCTCTTTTGCTTGTTTGTTTTTGTTTTTGACTGTGGCTTGTTTTGTAGTTCAAGGCTGATCTGGAATCTTCCATGCAGCCCTTGCTGGTAGCAAACTCTCAGTTCTCCTACCTCGGCTTCCTGAGTGCTGGGATTACAGCCAGGTGTCAACATATCTGGCTTGGGTCCGACCTGTGGCCAGTTTCTAAGCCAGTGACCCACTGACCTCGTGCTGCTGGCCTCTTTTGTTCTACTTAGTCCAGCAGTCACCATCCACCTGCGCCGCTTGCGGCTGCTATAGTGTTTAAGGTTACTGAGTCTAGATCAACCCCACTGTTGATTACAACGTCATTAGTAATGAATTCTTCAATCCCAGTAAGTCACAGAAGAAGGAGAAGCACACATACCCCAAAGGTGATGCACCATATACAGCTGCCCAATTTGAGAGAAGAATCCCCCAACTGCCTCATTCCTGTCCTGTCTAAAGCGGATGGCACGGGCCCTATGAGAGAAAAGCAGTGTTCCGAGAGTTAAGGAGAGTCGGGAGGCGCCTGGGGATGCTGACGCACACCTGCAATCCCAGCACTTGGAAGGCAGAGACGAAGAAAGGCAGGAGGATCTGCAGTTAAGTTAGAGACCAGCCTGGGCTACATAGTGAGTCCAGGCTAGCCTATGTTATATAGTGAGACCCTTTCTTAACGAAGACTCAGACTGTATTTCTTCCACTCAGGGTCAGCTATTGGGAATGAAGACCGTTTTCTTTTAACGCGTATCAAAGTATTAAATACAATCAAGTTTTGATTTTTATTTTTGGGTGAAGTTTGGCTCTCATTCTGTACCCCAGGCCAGCTCAGAACTTACTATGTAGGCCTTTTGATTTTCTTGCCTCAGCCTCCTAAGGAAGCTAATTATTTTTGTGAGTAGATAATATTTAATTATGATTTTTCAAAACAAAAACAGCAACATGAAGATATGTGGTTGCACTTCTGCTTATTCCTCAATTCAAATATAAACTTTTTAAAAAAATATTTATTTATTTATTATGTATACAATATCCTGTCTGTGTGTATGCCTGCAGGCCAGAAGAGGGCACCAGACCTCATTACAGATGGTTGTGAGCCACCATGTGGTTGCTGGGAATTGAACTCAGGACCTTTGGAAGAGCAGACAATGCTCTTAACCACTGAGCCATCTCTCCAGCCCCCAAATATAAACTTCTGATTCTTGAGATGAATGGGAGGGGAAGAGACTTGTGAACTTAAAAGGAACTGCTTCATGGTTGTGAACTTCGTAGCCCACAATAACTTTCCTCATGAGATGTGCCCACTGGTGAGATGGTGGCACTAACGTTAGTGAGGAAATGAACTACATTTGGTTGGATGAGGCCTCGTCCATGAGATGGACTCCATACCAGACACTGCTAACGAGGCCCAGCACCGAGACAGACACATCACAGGCCCTGGGGACAACCTGCGATTATGCTGCTAAATGTTCACAGCAGTAAAGTGACTCCTAGCAATGTAATGGCAGATCCAGAGGGCAGAGCACGGCTGAACCTCATCAGGGCTCTGCTTGGCAATGGCAGCTAACACAGAGACTCACGACTGGTCAACATGCAGGCGAATCTCTGTGAATTCTAGGCCAGGCTGGTATGCAGAGCTAGTTCCAGGACAGCAGGGTTATACAAAAATAAATAAATAAATAAATAAATAAATAAAAAACAAAGACAAAATGAAACTCTGCCTCGAAAAAACAATGAAACAAAAATTTGATTAAAAACAAATCATTAAAAAAAAACCACAACCAAAGCCTTCTAAAACCAACCACCAACACAAAACCCCTCTTTGTTTTTAAGATTTAATACTGCAAAAAAGCAGGCTGTTTGGGGTTTTTGTTTTTTTTTCTTAACTTAAACATTCTTTTCTCCTGGGACTGGGTACTCTGTCTTCACATTTAGTGAGATCACCTGAAATCTTGAAAATGTTTAAAAATGATTTTTTCCCAAACTAATTTTCTATCATCTCGGATAGAAATGAAGGCAGGGTTTTCAAATGGTGCAGAGATCCCACCCCACAGGAGAGCAAAGCTGGGTCTATCAAGGGCGTCCTCATCATGGTTTACCCAGGAAATCTGTATTAATACTTCCCGTGTTCTGGCCTGGTCTCGGGCACATGAAGGGCTTAGCACTGATGAAATTTGGGGAGATTCACCCTCATTTGTTTAAATGATCAGAACCTGAAAAATAAGCTACGGATATTCACAGTGAAAAAAAAATAACCCTTAAGTAAGGGAAAGGATACTTTTTAAGTTTTTTTGAGATAAGGCCTTATTATGTTAGCCCAGGCTGGCCTTGAAATCATGATCTTGCCTCAGCTTGCTGAATGCTAGACCTACAGGTGGGCATCACTACGCCCAGGAAGGAGTACGATTCTCCAGATGGCCTGACCAGTGTGTTCTCTTCCTGAAGGAAACCACAGACTGAGTTCCAACACCTTAACTGGCTCAGAAACAGAGCAGCAACCGCCCTGTTAGCAATGGGGCCATCTGTTGAGGACCATTTTGTGTGCCGCCTCTCTCATCCACAGGGACTGAGACCCCAAGTGTGACCCCACCAAGGCCTCCAGGTTCCTCTGTTGTGAATCACATATGGATTACCCACAAATTATACAGACATCGTCAAAAAATTACAAATGTGATCAATTGTCTTGAATTAAGAAAATCAGCTGAACTGTGCACTGTAACCGCTCAGGAGGAAGGAAAGAGTTTTTCATTGATCGTGATAAAATATTCTAGATTATTAATTTCATTCTGGACTTTTCTAATTTGGTTATGGAGGGCAGAGAAAATATACTTGCCATAGCCTGGTCATAGTCAGAAATGTGTGCTGCAGAGGAGACCTCCGTCTTAATAGTTACCTACATGCCAAATACAAATCAAATGCTCAACTGGCTATATAAAAAGTTTAAAATAACTGAGTAACCTCAGCATATCCTGTAGATTCACTGTGGAAAAAATATTAATTAGTAACATTCTAGTTGTATGAACATCTAAATTGCTATAAGCTAACACGAACAGCTCAAAAGCACAAATAAAAACCCCTTGATGGTACTTATCATAGTATATAATCAAATATATATTTCTTTTTTGTTTGCTTGAAGCAGTGTCTCAGTAGCCCAGGCTGGCCTCAAACTTGCTATGTAGCTGAGGATAGCCTTGATCTCCTGATCCTCCTGCCTCTACCTCTCCCGACCTGGTGTTGGGAGCAGTGGGAGCTACCATACCTAGCTAGATGATAGAGCTTTTGTACCGAACCTAAGAACTTTTGTCTAGTTCAGACTAACAAAGAGTTTCCCTGGGCTTTTTTCATGTTTCACTTCTTACATTTAAAGAAAATGTTTGTTTTTATTTTATGTTTATGAGTGTCTACCTGCATGCATGTATGTGTACTGTGTGTATGCAGTGCCCTTGGAGGGTATCAGAGACCCCTGAAACTGGAAGTACAAATGTTTGTGAGCTGCCATGGTTGTTAAGAACCCAACCTGATGCTGGGTGTGGTTGCACTTGTTTTAATCCCAGCACTCAGGAGGAAAATAAAGACAGGTGGATCTCTGAGTTCAAGGCCAGCCTGGTCTACAGAGTGAGTTCCAATACAGCCAGGGCTATTTTAAACGCAATATAAGTCAGGAGTGCAAACATTTTTTTTTCTATGTCCAGTTTTCCTGGTACCTTTTGATGCTGGGAAATAGTTATCTTCCCTCACTGAAGGAAGATTTACTTAGGTATAGTTTTCAAAAAGCATCAGCTCATAAATGTGGTCAAGTGTTAACTTCTGGCCCTTCAGCTCTGGATCACTAACCTATTAATATATGTTTGTCCATGTGCCAAGACTATACTTGTTTAAAGACAACATCTTCCGTTGTATCTCAGCCTGCATCTAACCTTGAAAATCTTCCTGCTTTGACCTCCCTGAGTGCTAGGAGTACAGGCATAAGTCGTAACTTTAGGCTTTAGGTGCCGGCTCTCGGAGAGAATGGTCAGTCTTCCTACTTTGTCCATTTAAGCTTGCATTGCTGCTTTGCTACTCAAACTACAGAAAAACAAAAACCAAAAACCTGCTGCATCATCAATCCCAGTTGCCCTGCTAATTAACAAACCCCAGGTCCCCAAGGAGCGACCCCTCAGGAAGTGTGGAGTGGCTTCATTTGGACTGGGATTTTGTCTGCAAGCCTTTTTGGAGAGATGCATGCTGAAACAGTTAAGGATGAAACAGCATGTGTTCTTGGTAATTCCTAAGAGGCTGAACTGGAGGAGTCAGACCTAAACATGACTAGCCATATGTTAGTAATTTATTTTTGTGTACATATTTTTCTTTTGTTGTCTGTTTATTTCTTGAAACAGGGTCTTGCTGTGTCTTGTGATTGTCCTTTAACCTCCTAAGATGTGGAATTTGATATGATGTTCGGCTTGTGTTAATAATTATAGAAGCAGTGCTGGAGAGATGGCTCAGTGGTTAAGAGCACTGGGTACTCTTCCAGAGGATCCGGGTTAAATTTCCAGCACCCACATGGTGGCTCATAACTGCCTGTAACTCCAGTTTCAGGGGATCCAATACCTTCCCACAGACATACATGCAAGGCAAAACATAAATGCACATGAAATAAAAATAAAAAATACTTTAAAATAATTATGGAAGCTTAGAAATAAGTATAGAATGGGGGATCCATCATATCGCTCTCTCTAGTTTTGTACATATTTGAGATTTTCCATAAAAACATTTTAAAAAGGCCATCTAAACCAAGGGCCAGCAAGATGACTCAGGGGTTGAAGGCACTTGCAGCCAAACCTGATGACCTGAGTTTTATCCCAGGGATCCAGGCGGTAGGAAGAGAGAGACAACCCCAGGAAGCTGTCCTCTGCCCTCGGCAGGCACCAGGCCCCACCAATACACAAACAACAGCGGAGGGAGAAGACAAAGGGAACAAAGAGCGGGCTCTGTTGTTAAGGGCACTTGCCCATCTCCTAGGCACTCACACGGTGGGTAACGAACACCTGAAACTCCAGGTCCAGAGGATCCAACACTCTCTCTTGGACTCTGGGCACTGTATGCACATAGTACAGAGACACACAAAAGAAAACTAATCCTAAAAAAAGGATGGTGGTGCGCGGCTGCACGTCCAGGTTTGTCGGAGGTGGAGGCAGAAGGAGCACTGGAGCCCAGCAGTCACGACAACCCTGGCATTTCTCACCTAAGGATTTACGGTGAGCCAGATGTGGTGGTTCACACCTGGGAATCCAGGTATCTGGGAGGTGGAGGCACAAGGTTCAGGAGTTCAAGGCTTGTCTTGGTTACACAGTGAGTTTGAAAGTAGGCTGGGATATGAGATTGTCTCAAAAAGGCAAAACAAAAATAATTCATAGCATGGCTTAAAATAATTAATGAGATATACAGACTCAACACAATAATATACTTACCAGTAATTGCCCCACTCAATCATTGTTCCTGGCTGAAAGGGAATTGAGATTTTGGTTAGCTGTATGAAAATATACAGACTATGAACAAAACTGATTAGCTGCTGTGTTTCTATGCCATCGCTGTAGCATACGAGAAAACAACCAACACATAGGCTAAGAGTAATTATCCACGAACGGTGATAAAACCACAGTCAGTCCATCCCTTGATGCACTGAAGGACTTCTTTCCACCTTCCCCAATACAAAGGAGATCATTACATCACTGAGATGTTACACCTTGTAATGCTGCTGCCACTGGAGGCTGCCAAGGGTGAAGGGTGTATACAGAAAGAAGACAGAAAATGGACATGATTAACCATGTTTTCTATTGGATGGACAACCAGAGTGTACCAATAAAGATGGGGCTATATCTAGGGCTATCCTGGAACTTGCTATATAGACCAGGGTGATTTTGAGCTCACAGAGATCTGCCTGCCTTTGCCTCCAGCTGCTGGAATGAAACGCAATCGCTGCCAGGCCTGGCTCCCTCTCATTCTCACTCAGACAGTGCTGTATAATCTGTGCAGCACTCAGTGTTTCTGAGGCACTTTTGCTTCAGAAGGGTAGTTGCTTCATATTTGTGCTTGGTTCTGTGGTTGAACAGAAAGTTATTTGGGGCTGGAGATGTAACATAGCTCAGTTAATAGTGTTTGCCTGGATCCTCAGCACGGTATATATCAGATGTGGTGGTGCACACATCTGATCCTGGTGCTCAGGACGTAGAAGGAAGAGGACCAAGAGTTCAGGGCTATCCCTGGCTACATACCAAGTTCGAAGTCAGCTTCAAGAAAATTACTTGGGAGCTGGAAGGAAGGGCCAGAGGTTAAGAGCACTGGCTGCTCTTCCAGAGGGCCTGAGTTCAATTCCCAGCAACCACATGGTGGCTCACAGCCATCTATAATGAGATCTGGTGCCCTCTTCTGGCATGCAGGTAGAGCACTGTATATATAATAAATAAATTTAAAAAAAAGGAAAAGAAAATTACTTGGGAAAACATCAAGTAACAAACATTATACATAATGCCATAAATACAAAAGAATTTAGCAGAAGAAAACAGATGAGAAAGAGAAAATAAAACAAAAAGTCCTAGACTGAAAGAAAATAGGTCAAATCAAAATATAAGCCGGATGTGAGTCTGGATACATGTAATGCCAGCACTCGGGAGACTACCTCAGGAGCTCAAATTCAAGGCCAGCCTGGGCTATGGGAGACCCTGTTTCCAATCATTGCCACCACCCTGAAAAATATATATAAAACGCTAAACACACATAACAAAATGCTCGCTTCCGTTTTACTGTCTGCATCAGGAAGCTGTACAGGGAAGTCTGGCCTGCATTCACTACTTACTCGGAGTTGGTAAGACCTGAGTTCGTATATATTGGGTCCTGATCTTGGCACGGGCTCATTCCAGAAACTGAACTCCAACAGCAGCTGATTTCTCCTGGAGATAAGCATGTCGCTTCTGGCTTTACGGAAACTTACAAATTCCTTTGGGTGAAAAAAAAGGCTCATGAAATCTTTGGATACTTACATATAAATAGACTTTAGTAACAACCAAATCCCAAAGGATAACTCAGTTATAAGTAAGACCATCTTAGTTTTTATCTACTGCATTGAAATAATGAATAGAGCATGCCCTCTAATGTACCCAGAGTTTTTTCTTTTAAAGATTTATTTATTTTTGCATGTATGTGTGTGTACCACATGAGTGTTTGGTGCCCCGGAAAGTCAGAAGAGGGCATCAGATCCCCAGGAACCGGAGTTACAGGTGGTTGTGAACCACCATGTGAATGCTGGAACTCAACAATCCTCTGGAGAGCTCTAAACTACTGAGCTGGAGTTTGATCCACAGTACCACTTAAACCAGGGATAGTGGCACACACCTGTGAGCCCAGCATTTGAAAAGCCAGGGGAAATCAGAAACTTAAGGCCATCCCTGGGTACATAAAGAGTTTTGGGTTAGCCCGAGCTGTAAGAAACTGTCTGTCTCAAACAAACAAAAATTCAAAAACAAAACAAACAATGCTGTGGCTGTTAGTTTCTAATTGTAATCCAGGGCTAAGTTTACAACGCAGCATGGCCAATGTCGGAGTCCAGTCTTGTCAGTTTCAAGGTGCTATCGTGCAGGAGCTCTGATTTTGATAGTATTAAAACTCGTAATTTTGGCTGGGTGATGATGGCGCATGCCTTTATTCCCAGCATTCGAAAGGCAGAGGAAGGTGGATCTCTGTGAGTTCGAGGCCACCCTGGTCTACAAGCCAGGACAGGCTCCAAAGCTACAGAGAAACCCTGTCTCGAAAAACAAAAAACAAACAAACAAACAAACAAAAACCCAAACCAACAAAAAACCAAAAAACCCCAAGAAACCTGGCAATTTCAAGACCAAATGGTGGTGGCGCACATCTTTAAACCCAGCACTTGGGAGGCACAGGCAGGAGGATCTCAGTGAGATTGAGGCCAGCCTGGTTTACAAAGTGAGGACAGCCAGGACTACACAGAGAAACTCTATCTCGGAAAACCAAAACCAAAAGCAAACCAAACCAAACCAAACCAAAACAACAACAAAACCCTGAAAAAACAAAACAAAAAACCAACAAAACCCAAAGACCTAACAAACAAAAAACCCAAACCAACAAATAAACATCAACAACAAAAACTAGTAATTTCATGTTTACACACAATTTTAACAACTCATATGATGAAATTTCTACTACAAAAACTAAATGGTTTACTAACAAAAGCTGGTGTCTTTATGAAGTTCTGTGTGAATACACCCTGAATCATTATACTACACAAGAATCTCTCTCTCTCTCTCTCTCTCTCTCTCTCTCTAACACACACACACACACACACACACACACACACACACACACACACACA